CAGTTCGACGTGGGCGAATTTGTGCTTTATATGGACGTGTGGTGGATTTCGCACTCAAAAGTGTTACATGGCGTGGACCAGCTCAAGTGGTCAAGACAACATCCGACTGGATTTTTGAAATCCAAAATTTGGTGACGGGGGTGGTCCGTGAAGCCCACAGCAGTCGTCTCAAGTTTTATGCCGACGACGCCCTGGATGTGACCGAAGCACACACATTGCGCACAACGCCGACGGCGATGTGGTCGATCAGTTCCTCGACTGCCGCTACAACGATCGAATGGCCGCCTTTGAAGTTGAAGTGTGTGTGCGCTGGCGCGGCCTACAAGCAATTGAAGACTCGTGGGAGCCGGCGGCCAATTTGTTGGAAGACATTTCAACTGAGTTCAAGCGCTACATGCGCTCAAACAAGGCCGATCCCCAAGTCAAGGCGATGGCAGCTGCGTTGGGAGTGACGCAATCGTTGGGGGGGATTGTTGCGAATTTTCCATTCGTAGAACCCCTGAACCCCTCCCAAGAAGGTATCCAAGTGTTCGATTAGGTTGGATATCCTGGGTATCCTATTCGCTAGTTAGATTATTGGCTGCCCAGCAGCTGTCTGATTAGGTTAGGGTTAAGCCCCAGTGACTACTTGCCACTGGGGGAATTCACTTTGTGATTTGCCTTTGGATCGGACTTCGCAAGGTCCGTCAAGTTGAGAAGCAACAGGCGCAGACGTCTGGGTGTTCACAAGCTGCTTTGTGCGCAATTCTTGTCCAATGTAATTGGAAGAAGAATCACAACATCTTTGTCGTTGAAGACGCGGCGGCGCTGAGGCGTCTCCATGCCTATGAAGAGCTGCACCACCCACCACTCAAACCTTGCGTGTCAAGTTTGGTCGGAGGGTCGTGCAGTTATATCTTGATTGGCCAAGAACCAGCCAATCATAAGCAGTTATCACGGAGCAGACTGGACTGTCAGGCCTTGAGATGTGCCTATTAGCGGATTGGCAATCAGATTTAAGAGTACGCGTTCTCGTTCCACATGAGGTTTGACAGCTCGACTTCCGATTTTGGCAGCAAAGTGAAACGCAACCGTGAACGGACACTTACAAAACCTCTCTAGTGTTTCCAATTTATCGGACACGCGAGACATGCGGACATTGGACTCTTTATGCATGAACTTGATGGCGCTCTTGCATGCGTTGATAGTAGAGTATGACTTGAACTGCTGTGGTAGGAAGTTTTCACAAAGTATTCCGTGTCCGTTTCCGTAATAATTACCCTCAGTAATGAGTACAATCACGGAAACTGATGAAACTTTACAGCGGAATCCGTGAAAAGAGCAGTAATCACGGATTCGGATAACCATAAGTAATAGAGGTTATCCGAACAGGAAGGTTCCATTCGATGGTTTCGTGTGCTACAGTATGAGCAGGTTGAGAAGCGAGGATGACTTGGCGCTGTGGATAAAGGCCAACCACGAGCGACATTCCTCCAACATCTGGTCATGAAGTCTTGGGGGTGCTTGCGTGGAACTTGCTTAAAGTTCCTGACTTCTCTTGCCAAGCTCGATGTTGACAGCAAGAAAACATCGCACATGTTCCACCTGATCCTCGACAACCACGAAAAGTTCCAGAAGGATTCTGTGTATTTGGATGGTGTTGACCGACGGTAGGAATGTGCGAACAGAAGTCTACGATCACGGGCAGACCTCGCGAAGCAAGAACGCTTGACGACAGATTCCTTATGTAGATATCTTTCGTCGTCCACGACATTTTAACCCGACAACTTTATGATTGGTTAAAAATGTATTCCCAGAGTGTAATTTTGATTGGCCGAGCTGTGAGACTTCTCCAACAACCTCATTTCACAAAAAACCAAGATCCCAACACTTCATTACAATCGTCCCTCGCGCTTTCGCTTGCGGACTTCAGACAAGATATTACTGTAAGAGCTAGTGTGACCTACATATGCAGCCTCAAACATCTCATAACTAACATACTTTGAAAAGGCAAGCGACAAGGTCAAGCGCTCAGAATACTTTCGGCGGTCGGCCCGGATCATTTGTTTGTTGAACGATCGCAGGGGTTGATACAACCCGACCGCCGGGTCTCCGGTAAACCATTGTGTCCATGCTTCGTTCGCCGACCGTGCAGTAGGTACAACAGCGTGCGAAACGAAGCTGTCCAGCGTCATTTGACGTTGCGACTTGGCAGCCACTGGCGGTGGCAGTGTGCGGGCGACATCGGCGGCGACGACAGCGGCAGGTAAAACATGCACGTTGTTTTGGAGGGACTTGACAATTGCGTTGCAGAGGTCTTGTACGTTCATTTCGGCGACGGTTGAGTTGCTGGTGTTTGTGTTGGTGCGTAGTAGATTTCTCGAGTCGATTTCGTTTGTAATGCTGCGTGTAATAAGATATTCACAACATGTCTTTGCATCTTCCCATCGGCACCATGCCATGAGTTCTCTGAAATTGAACCGACGCTCGGGAGACTCGAACACTGGGTAATAACTTCCTCCACAACGCATGCTGTGCAACGTAATTCCTAAAAAATATTATAAACTAGTACCAGTTGAAAAATTAAATATGTGAGCAAAAAATACCTGAAGTAAGTTCGGAGCACTTTTCAAGTGCACTTTTAATGAACAGACGGACTTGATTTTGATCAAGACGTTTGTACCAGTTGAGTCTTGGGGTCCCAGACGATTCGAGTGTGTGGGCAGGAAAAACAAACGACTTGGAGGCTAAATTCGGACTGGCCCGATTGACGAGGCCCACGTAATCTGAAAACAACCCACACACACGCAAGCACGTAAATGACTTCTCGTCAACGAGATGGTAGATTTGGCAGTCACTTTGTACACTGGCCTTTTTGTGCCAACGAAGTCGGAGCGATACATACTGGCTCTCGCTATCGTGTTAAAGGGCGACATCGTCCCACGTCAGTTTAGCATTTCGCTGATACGAAAACAGCCAATGTAGCTCGCGCAGAGAAGAAACCCGTAAAGTGCCCCGACAAACATGTGGGACGAAGCCAGTGAGTTTTCGAGCAACGACAGCTCGTACACCGACAGTGGATGGGCCTTTTTTTCGTCGTCGATGTTGTTTTTTTGTTGTATTTTAGCGAACCAACAACGTATTGCTTGGCCTCAACATCCCGGGCAGGGTTTGGGTCGACTTTGAGTGCTTGGAAATAGGCGACTAGCGCGGTCTTGGCGGAGTCGACGGTACGGGCAGTCTTGCCGAGGCTGTAGAGGTGGTGAAAAAAGACTATGCATGCCACTGGTGTCGCGCCGGCTGGGTTGATTGCGAGGACATCCTTACAGAACTTGGAAAACTGGTTTTGATAGGTCTGGTAGGTTCGCAAGGTCGACTTCGATCGGAAGGAACCTTGGATGGTTGCTTTAGGGAGCACGGTGGTTGCATTCATGATGCTGAATTTCTTTTGTTATAGGGGTTGATGAAACGTGGCTGTATTTTCAGACGACATCTACGTATTAACGTCCAATCATTGGGCGCCCATAATGTTGGAGTTATGTTCTTCCCCAACATGTGGGTCGTCGTAATGTTGGAGTTATGTTCTTCCCCAACATGTGGGTCGTCCAATCAACGATCTCAATTGAAACATGTTGTCGTTCAGCGAATCACGACAAAGTAATTGTCGGGATTGCCAATCCAAACTCCTCACGATTTGTCCGTTCCCAGGTATATGTTATTCTGGACGCGGAATCTATTTATAACGTTACAGCGAAATCGTCTAAATTTAATCCGCGTCCGTGGTCGTGTCCGTGTCATTTTTCTCACAAGAGAAAAACGATCACTCAATTAATCATAAAACCGTGTCATTTTTCTCACGGACTCGAACACGGATTGAATTGCGAAATCTCCCTAGTGTGTCTTGCTACCATACCTAAGTAACACCACCTGGTTCCCTATTGTTGAATCACCTGGACTGATGTGGTCGGCGCGCCATAGAGGCCGTCCGCTCGGGTGATTGCATTGCAAAATAATGACTCTGAAACTGTATCCGGATACAAAATTTCGTTCTATTTACAGTTAGTAAAACCCATTATATGTCTGGATACAATTTTGCCATACACATGTCAAATCGAATTATGTCCAGTATCTGGGTTTACGAAATTTCGTGTTTCGTATCTCCAATTGTATCCGGCAGATATATTTCGTAAAACATACTTCGAGGTATACTACGTATCTACTAGTATATTTCGTATTATTTACTGTTAGTACTTCGAGTAAGTAGTACTACTGTAGTATTGTCGATTACTCGTACTTGTACTGTACTACTACTACTGTACTACTACTAGTACGTATTAATACTAATGCTACTAATGGAAGTAACGGTTTGATTGGTCGCGTTAGTATTCAAGTATATATTAATAGTATTGTCGATTACTCGTACTTGTACTGTACTACTACTAGTACGTATTAATACTAATGCTACTAATGGAAGTAACGGTTTGATTGGTCGCGTTAGTATTCAAGTATATATTAATAGTATTGTCGATTACTCGTACTTGTACTGTACTACTACTAGTACGTATTAATACTAATGCTACTAATGTAAGTAACGGTTTGATTGGTCGCCTTTTACAGTACGCCAGTAAGGTAGCAAAATCACATGGCTCAAGAAAGCAAGTAAAGGTGAAAAAGACTACAGTCAGTTCAATAAGTCATGCGAAGCCCCGAGTCTGTCGTGGAAGGC